CATAGCCGCACAAGACGAATCTTAATCTAACTAAAAAATATTGTGTGTTTACAGCATTTGCCTGGGGGCGTTTATCTATTTTGCAAATGGCCTCAACACATTATCTTATGAATAGCGCGCTCTGCGAGTGGGTGTGAACAAATTAACGATAATGAGCTGAGACAGGAGAAACTGTACTTTGCAGGAGAATATTTGTTTTAAATGTGAATTGTTTTATTTAAAAGTAGAAATTTAAAGCGTTCTTTAGACGTATGTTTCATGTTTGTGTGATAAGTATTAGCGGAGTTTCCGTTCATTTTCCAGACATGTTTCAGAAAGATTTTTTGCGGAGACAGAGTGAGAAGAAAGCGCACCCTGTTTATTTTATTTATTTAAAAAAAAACACAAGGTTTTGATGTTAATGTGAGTGTACACAAAAAAAGAAGACCCTCTATAGTTTATAATCATGTATTGATTTTATTTATATGACCATAAATGACGGAGTATTTTAAGTCTATGTTGCTGCTATGTGAAAAAAAACAGGCTAGGTTTTCAACGTGCTATTATAGTTCCCTCTCAGTTCGGTCACGTTCGACGTAGTCGGACGTACCGTACTGATTGGGATCACGCTTAGGGAGCCTTTCATCTTCGAGTATTGAAAAAACGAACCAATGCACATTGGCGTGCGAGATTTGCATCTCGTTCTCTGCCCCGCAGCGCGGGTATAAACACGGAAGCGGATGCATTCACCACTTGTCTTTCGCTTCGGAGCCGATCGGATGTCAATGTCTCTGAAGAGTGTTGGAGTGTTTTTCAACGAGCGTGTGTGTCGGTGCTTCTTCTGGAAGTCTCTCCTGGTGCTGGTGTGTTACAGCACGAGTTCAGCTGTGATCGCGAGCCCTCTGAGCTCTCAACTGCTGTTTTAACAGCATTTTTTTTGTTTGTTTGTTCTGACGGTTGGTTAGAGGGAGAAGAGGGTGAGTGCTTCACTGGTACAGGCTGCACCATCTCCTGTCAGTGTTGCCGCAGTCATTCTCTTTGTGCTCCGGCATTGGTTGAGAGCACTATTTCCTAAAAAGAGCAACACGAGTGTGTCTGCGTCTTTTTCAAGATGCCATTCCACCCGTGCGTTTCTGGATGTGGTCGTTCCCTGTCCCCAGCTGACGGTCACAATAGATGCATCAAATGTTTGGGCTTACAGCACACTGAAGCAGCTTTTGTGGATGGTTCATGTTCCCATTGCGGAAACATGACTATCTCGGTGTTGAGATCGAGACTTGCCTTCATTCGTTAAGGTGGAGTCCCCATTCCCATTCCCCGCCCTAGCGTCCCGTCTGGCCAATCCCAGAGAAGAACTACTGCGCCGTGTGGGATGGGGGATCTGAGGATCACAGTGAGGGCTTCCCCACCCGGTAACCAGTCCCCGTGGGCCCCTCACTCCTCTATCACACCGCAGCTGGTGTAGCTCCCTGTGGAACGTGCTGGTCCCTCTGTAGTGGACCAAACATTCGTTTCATTCGGGGCTCCTCCTGAGGACAGGATGTCGATCGCTGCATCGGATGGGGAGCTGGACTCTAGAGATAAGGATTCGGCTGCGCTGCCTCCTTCTGGGAGAGCAGCGTTGCCCGAGTTGGATTCAGAAATGTCAGCTATGCTGAAACGGGCCGCCGAGATGGTCGGGCTCGTGTGGAACCCTCCACTGTGTCCCGAACCGTCTCGGTTGTATGATTGGTTTCTCAGGGCGGGCCAGGCTGGTCCTCAGCCCACCACCCAAGTGCCATTCTTTCCCGAAGTGCATGAGGAGGTTACTAGGTCGTGGACGGCACCTTTTTCTGCCAGAAACCGGGTTAGTACCTCCTCCCCCCTCACTACCCTTGACGGAGGAACAGTGAAGGGTTACGAGCCTATCTCTCCAGTGGAGCGGTCTGTCACGATGCAGCTGTGTCCGGCGACCCTCTCGGGCCTGTAAGTTCTCGTCCGTTTTCACGGGCAAGGCTTACAAAGCCTCTGGGAAAGCCACTTCCTCCCTGCATGCCATGGCGTTGCCAGTCATTCGAGTGTTCGGGTCAACTGGGAAAAGAGCAAACTCGCCTCCATGCAGAGGATCTCTTTTCTCGGTATGAAGCTGGACTCGGTCCACCAGACGGCACGCCTCACAGAGGATCATATCCGGTCGGTGCTGAACTGCTTGAATACTGTCAAGAGAAGAACAGTGGTCCCACTGAAACTTTTTCAGAGGCTCCTGGGGCATATGGCATCCTCAGCCGCAGTAACGCCGCTCGGACTGCTTCATATGAGACCGCTTCAGCACTGGCTTCATGGCCGAGTCCCGAGATGGGTGTGGCAGAGCGGCACGCTCCGTGTGACAATCACCCTGGCCTGCCGCCAAACCCTCAGCTCGTGGTCAGACCCTTCTTTTCTTCAGGTCAGAGTGCCCCAAGAACAAGTGTCCAGGTATGCTGTGGTCTCCACAGATGCCTCCAACACCGGCTGGGGGGCCACGTACAAAGGACACACAGTAGCGGGTGTCTCAACTGCATTGACACATCAACTGCCTCGAGTTGCTAGCAGTACACCTTGCTCTGCGACACCTCAAAACGGCGCTGCTCGACAAGCATGTACTGGTCCTTATGGACAACACTGCGATCGTTGCGTACATCAACCATCAAGGTGGTCTACACTCCCATCGCATGTCGCAACTCGCCCGCTATCTTCTCCTATGGATTCAGAAGCATCTGAGGTCGCTTCGTGCCACTTATATCCCCGGCCTGCTCAATCGTGCCGCCAAACAAACTCTCACGACAGCCTGTGGCCCAGGGAGAGTGGAGACTCCATCCCCAGGCGGTCCAGCTGATTTGGGACCACTTCGGGGCCGCACAGATAGATCTGTTTGCCTCTCCGGACTCGTCCCATTTCCAGTTGTTTTACTCCCTGACCAATGGGACCCTCTGCTCGGATGCACTGGCACTGGGTTCTCCACAGGGCCAGCTCTATGTGTAGTATGTGTTTCCCCCAGTGAGCCTTCTTGCATAGACACTGTGCAAAGTCAGGGAGGAAGAGGAGAAGGTCTTGCCCCTTATTGGCCCAACCGGACCTGGTTCCCCAAACTGATGCTCCTCTCGACAGCCCCTCCCTGGCCCATTCCTCTGAGGGAGGATCTTCTCTCTCAGGGATGGGGCACCGTATGGCACACTCATCCCTGGACGGGACGCGGAGGTTCTAGGTGATCTATCGCAAGCTGCCGAGTCTCACGTAATCCTGAGACCCCGGCCTGGATATGTGCCCAAGGTTCCTACCACTACCTTTTGGGTCCAGATGGTGAACTTTCAAGCGCTGTCCCCGGAGGAGGCAGCCGTCCGCGCTCTGCGCCTGTACTTGGACAGAACGCAAAGCCTCAGGACCTCAGACCAGCTCTTCGTCTGTTACGAAGGCCAGCAGAAGGGAAAGGCTGTCTCCAAGCAGAGGTTGGCTCACTGGATAGTGGATGCCATCGTCTTGGCGTATCAATCCCAAGACGCACCATGCCCCTTTGGTTGCGAGCCCACTCCACATGGAGTGTAGCTTCTTCCTGGGCGTTGGCACAGGGTGCCTCCCTGACAGATTTTTGTAGAGCTGCGGGCTGGGCGACACCAAACACGTTCGCTAGATTCTATAGCCTACGTGTCGAGCTGGTAGCTTCCCGTGTGCTCTCTTTGCATAGAAGCCAGTCAACACCGTAAGCCCCACTCAAAGTGTCGGCTTGCTGCGCCATTCCCCTCCTATGGACTGGATACGTGCGCCATTCTTACTTCAGTAGAGTTCCTCATTAGCCAAACCCTGTTGAGTTCCTCCACATCCCTCGGCAACGGACATGGCGGAGCGTCCGATGCCAAGCCTAACTCTCGTATGCATTGGTGGAACCTGTGCTAGGCTGGGTCCCATATGTTGTGATCCCTACGGCGATCCCATATGTGTATTCTTCCACGGTACGGCTCCCTATGGCTAGCCTGTGGCTTTCCCTTGGCAGAGCCAGTTCTGCTGTCTCTGACCGGTGTTGTCTCCCCCCTGCTATACGCCAGAGCCTCCTAAGTGACAATCCATATGTTGTACTGCCCGGAAACGCCCAGTCCATATGTGTAACATCCACATTATACCTCCCTACGGGCATGATGTGTCTTCCGCAGCGTCTCCCTTTCCACCGAAAGGGCACGCTTTCCCAGTGTTATCCAAGTCTGTCTGAGTGGGTCATGCGGAACAGCAGTGAACTTCCCACCCTGTCCTATCTCCACCTCAATTAATGCGGGGGGATCAGGAGGCTTTCCGCTAGGCACTGGAATGTGGCAATACTAGGTGGCGTTTTAATTGGGATCCTAATCAATACGGCAACTGAAAGGGAACGTCTCGGTTACGTATGTAACCCTTGTTCCCTGAAGAAGGGAACGGAGACGTAGTCCCCTCGCCACTAGTGCTGGATCACCGCTGACCCCTTGCTCCGCTCGGCCCCTTAGCGAAAAACAAGTAGATGTAAATATTGCAAGCCAATGTGCATTGGCTCGTTTTTTAAATACTCGAAGATGACAGGCTCCCTAAGCGTGATCCCAATCAGTATGGTACGTCCGACCACGCCTCCGTTCCCTCCTTCAGGGAACGAGGGTTACATACGTAACCGAGACATTCCTCTGAAACCCTAACACCTCCCCCAGCTCCACCTGTCTATAACTGTGTGCCTATTCATGTATAGCAGTATATCTTACATGCTCACAGCAGCATGCCTGTGTATCTATTGACAGTAGCAATCCACACTTGCTCTGCAAAAACATGCATAGCAGATCTTGTCCGCCAAGACCAAATACATAAAAAAAAAAAAAAAAGACAAAACAAATGCAATTGATGATATGACTCGCAATGCTCATACTAACAATTCTGGAAAGCAACCTATTAGTTACTTACTTATAGTTACTCTTAAAGGTGTTTATGGATTTTAGTGTTTTCAACAGAAACTTTCATAACCCTGTCCCTGGCCATCTTTTCTTCTGTTTCAGAATAAGATTATTCTGGATCCGCTAACATTTAGTGAGGCTCGCTTCAGGCCATCACTGGAGGAACGTCTGGAGAGCATCATTAGTGGCGCCGCCCTCATGGCTGACTCCTCCTGCACACGCGACGATCGCCGTGAACGCATCGTAGCCGAGTGCAACGCCGTGCGCCAAGCCCTGCAAGACCTGCTGAGCGAGTACATGAACAATGTAAGTCCTGAACATCCTTTTCCACTATGTAGGTAGCTTGATTATTAGTTTTTCAAGTGACCTTTTTTTGAACACTTTGTTAGTTTGGTTTAGGTTTTCTGATTTTTTTCCTTTTCTTTTTTTAATATTTTTGTATTGTCCTTAGGTTTAGTGACTCACAGCAAGGCTTACTTGATGTTTGAATACTTTTTGTGGCTAATTGTGGCATGGTACTTTTCCTTAATTCACACACATCCTGCATTGATTGTGATTCATACCTAAGGCTGTATGGCTAGAAAACATTTTCCTCAAACAACCATGGTTATAGTAGTCATACTTTTCAGGGAATTGACACATACCATATACATACACATAATATGTCTTAGTGAGTATTTATGTAATTATCAGTGCTGACATGGAACATGAAGAGCTTTCTGCATAGACAGCCTCAGCATCATCACATATAGTGCACTATCTTAAGCTGTTTGAGGCTATTTCAGGTTAAGTACATTTCTGAAGTTTTAAGTGGTTAAAAACATGTTCAATTTCATATGTCCTTGAAAATTAAATTATTAATTTCTTTAAATAGTTATGGTACTGGTACAGTGGTGTGTATGTTCAAGCAATACTATATATATATATATATATATATCCCCTTTCCATCAGTCCCTATTGGATAGATACTGACTGTTCATCTGGGAAAGTTCACCAGTTAAAAGGGTCTTAATATTCTTTGATAAATCAATACTCTGACCTTTAGTCTTTCACAAACCCTTCTTTTATGTGTCTCTCTGTGTTTGTTATCCTTTGCTTAAATGAAAGACTTTAAGGCATATAATCCTATAGAATTATCATGATGGTGTGTATGCATGTGCCTATGTGTCTTTCTTGTTGTGTGTATCTGTCAATTACGTTGAAACAGGTGTCACAAAGCCATTGGCAAGTGTTCTGTAATATTGATCGCTATGGTATCAATGGGCCTGTCTGGCTCTGACGCTATGCAGTAATCAATGGCTTCTACCCAGCTATAATCTAATGCATTTTTCCTAGTGCTGGTGTGCTCAAGCACCATACGGGAACAGAGGGATATTAAATACAACCTCTCATTCGATTAGCGATGCCCCTTTAGTCAAAACACAACGCCAGTGGAGATGAATATCACATCATCACTCAAATTACAAGCTCCTGCTCTGGGAGGAAATGTGTTTGTGTTGCTAGGACGCTTGTTTTATATGAGTTTTAGTCTCTCAACGGATTCATTTTGTTATGCTTTTTTTTCTTATGTTTGCATATGCATCTTTGTATGGGTTTGTTCATGTGAATATTTTCATTAGCACAAATACGTTTTCCTCGTGCACTTGTTATATATATATATATATATAACATACAAACCCGATTCCAAAAAAGTTGGTACACTGTACAAATTGTGAATAAAAACAGAATGCAATGATGTGGAAGTTTCAAATTTCAATATTTTATTTAGAATACAACATAGATGACATATCAAATGTTTAAACTGAGAAAACGCATAATTTTAAGGGAAAAATAATTTGATTTTAAATTTCATGGCATCAACACATCTCAAAAAAGTTGGGACAAGGCCATTTTTACCACTGTGTGGCATCCCCTCTTCTTTTTATAACAGTCTGCAAACATCTGGGGACTGAGGAGACAAGTTGCTCAAGTTTAGGAATAGGAATGTTGTCCCATTCTTGTCTAATACAGGCTTCTAACTGCTCAACTGTCTTAGGTCTTCTTTGTTGCATCTTCCTCTTTATGATGCGCCAAATGTTTTCTATGGGTGAAAGATCTGGACTGCAGGCTGGCCATTTCAGTACCCGGATCCTTCTTCTACGCAGCCATGATGTTGTAATTGATGCAGTATGTGGTTTGGCATTGTCTTGTTGGAAAATGCAAGGTCTTCCCTGAAAGAGACGACGTCTGGATGTGAGCATATGTTGTTCTAGAACTTGGATATACCTTTCAGCATTGATGGTGCCTTTCCAGATGTGTAAGCTGCCCATGCCACACGCACTCATGCAACCCCATACCATCAGAGATGCAGGCTTCTGAACTGAGCGCTGATAACAACTTGGGTTGTCCTTGTCCTCTTTAGTCCGGATGACATGGCGTCCCAGTTTTCCAAAAAGAACTTCAAATTTTGATTCGTCTGACCACAGAACAGTTTTCCACTTTGCCACAGTCCATTTTAAATTAGCCTTGGCCCAGAGAAAACGCCTGCGCTTCTGGTACCCGTTTAGATATGGCTTCTTTTTTGACCTATAGAGTTTTAGCCGGCAACGGCGAATGGCACGGTGGATTGTGTTCACTGACAATGTTTTCTGGAAGTATTCTTGAGCCCACGTTGTGATTTCCATTACAGTAGCATTCCTGTATGTGATGCAATGCCGTCTAAGGGCCCGAAGATCACGGGCATTCAGTATGGTTTTCCGGCCTTGACCCTTACGCACAGAGATTGTTCCAGATTCTCTGAATCTTTGTATGATATTATGCACTGTAGATGATGATAACTTCAAACTCTTTGCAATTTTTCTCTGAGAAACTCCTTTCTGATATTGCTCCACTATTTTTTCGCCGCAGCATTGGGGGAATTGGTGATCCTCTGCCCATCTTGACTTCTGAGAGACAGTGCCACTCTGAGAGGCTCTTTTTATACCCAATCATGTTGCCAATTGACCTAATAAGTTGCAAATTGGTCCTCCAGCTGTTCCTTATATGTACATTTAACTTTTCTGTCCTCTTATTGCTACCTGTCCCAACTTTTTTGGAATTTGTAGCTCTCATGAAATCCAAAAGGAGCCAATATTTGGCATGACTTTTCAAAATATCTCACTTTCAACATTTGATATGTCATCTATATTCTATTGTGAATAAAATATACGTTTATGAGATTTCTAAATTATTCCATTCCTTTTTTACTCACAATTTGTACAGTGTCCCAACTTTTTTGGAATCAGGTTTGTATATTAATGTATTTTGCATCCGAATAGTCTCTGGATATTCTTTAGCTGCGTTTACAGACTGATGCTGTACAAAACATTTTTGTCTCAACAGACCAATGATCTGTTTTACAGGTAGTACAGGATACCGCAAGTTTACAAGTCAGCATTGTTGACTTCTAGCTTCTGGGAATTAAGGGTACAGTAGGTATCTAGAAGGGGTGTCTGATTTTTCCATTGCTTCAGTTTTCCTCTAACACCTCTTCAACTTCTGCCACCTTCTTTCCACCTTTTGCTCTAATTGTTCTTCAAGCTCAAGCCTGAACGACTTGTGGAACGGCATGAGCTTGATCAATGTGCTGGTTTGCAATAAATTAAGTTCAAGTGACAAGAGATGTCTATACTTGTCCTGGCCGGTGGTGATCGTTGATTGGTGACACCCGCCCAGGCTCCCAAGACTGCTGAATCATCAGAATTGGCTGATTTAGTTACGGCAGCCTGGACAGGCCAATCTATCAATTGATCGGTTGGAGTAATGCATTGCTGACCTGGGTCAAGGGAGCTCGGTTTGTGGCTAGAGGTTGATAGGGTCCAGGGTTTTGTGGGTGTGGTGGTTCACCTCGCTAGCCTGGCCTGCAGTGCACTAAAGAGGATTTAGGGAGTTGGTTAGTAGAGCTTAATCTTACACTTAGCGGGACGTGGCACTCTGGCGGTCACACTGCGTTTAAAGAAGATGGATGCCTGTTCTTTGGGCCTCCAGGGGGCTACACAGAAAGGCTTGATCAAGAGGAAGGTTCTTCAAACACTCCATCAGCCTAACAGTGTTGCAACCAGCCGCATAAGCACAGAGCCTGTGCGACCCAGAAGATTACTTTAGAAGAACAGCAGATCATCGAGTTATAGAGAAATAAATAGAAACAATGGGATGTATAGATCAAAAGAACATGAGATCTGGTGTTACCACATACTCCATACTGCAGTTCTAGGGTAGGATTCTGTTTTGTGACTTAATATTAAAAGTTGGGTCACCAGCACTTTATGTGCATCTAACACCCCAATTAGTTGTTCGGCTAGGGCATTTTCATTCCTAGGTTGAAGCATTTCCATTTGAAATGTATTGTATTACTATTATGACCAATTTGCTTTAGTGTTATATCAGCCATTAACCATCATTTGTTACTTACAAGTCAGTTGCATGTGGTGGAAGGCCATTCTAAGAGACCATTTGATTGGACAAAAATGGGTTGTAAAATATTGTAACCCATAATCCTAGAAGAAATTATTATATACACATAGTAGTAGTTCAAATTCAGCTAGCTTTCAAATTCAGTCCAAGTGACTTGTTTCGTTCCTGAATGAATCGGCATTTTGAAATGAATAATTTGAGTGAGTGATTCAGTGACTCAGTGACTCACTCAAAAGAAAGAATCACTGGGAAATATCTAAGAGTAATGCACCTGTTGTATTATATTATATGATATCATATATTATATTATATTATATTATTACATTTTTGCATTATTGGAACGTTTAGTAGAGGAATAAGGAATACAAACACTGGATAACACTTCAAAATAGACTTTACTGGAGCCGCAGAAGTAGAACTGGACATTACACGAAACAATAACTGACAAAAAAATTTACAGAACAGGGAGTATATACATATAGTAAATGAGGGAACTAAACAGGAACAGCTGGACAAAGATTAACTAATCAGTAACCATAGAAACTAACGAGAACTCATACAGACATGACATTAACAACTAAACAAAATATACCGTATTGTTCCGAATATAAGAATATACGTTTTTTTTTCTTGGAAATACATCTGAAGAAATGGGGTCGTCTTACATTCGGGGTCTAAACTTTTACATGTCAATAATACACCCGCAACAAAGGGGAGCGCCAAATATGTGTAAAATGTATGTGTTTACCAGGACTGAGTCATCAAACAACTCTCATTAAGCAGCCAAGAAATACGGTGTGTAATGTTAAAAGATGGCGAGCCCAAAAAGAAGATGGCGAGCAGTCAAATAAAAGCTTACTGCTGTCCTAAAAGTG